TGAGGCCCGACGCTTAAAGGGCTACGCTTATATTCATAGAATCTGGGGTTACAGTACGTAACCAACGTTCTATGTCATATAAGCTTCGCCCTTTAAGGCCTTCGCTTCAGTGGGTAAAGGGCGAAGCCGATGTGGTCCTCGCCTCACTGGGTCCATTCGAACACAGTAAGAAGCGGAAGCTTGCCCAAAAAACGTCTTGTCACTCAGCTCCCCATGTGCATAACTACGCATCGCGTAATTATGTGCCATGCACAGACGCATGTTGAGTAACTATGCGTTCTGACAAAGCATGAATGCCCCGGAAAAACTTTCAACGGGAAGAAGAAGTTGAAAAGGGGGGGGGGGGGGGGGGCATGAACCAACTGGTTCATGGTTGAACAGTATAAACAGATTAATGTCCATGAATTGATTATTGATCAAATGAACTGATTGGTAACAATAGTCATGAACTGATTAGTGACAATAAAACCAAAATCACAGACACGACTGTGACTGATAACAACATCTCACACTGTAATGCATGCAGACAGAAGTGAGCTTAAACCGAGTTCCATGAGAACAACAATATTCATTCTGTTAGAGCACTAAGGACAGAATGTGTCATGGAACGAGCCGTTACATCACGTAGGTAAAAGCGAATAAATGAGCAGGGTGTTGACCATGCAGCCGCATTTCAAACGTCCTGCATTGACATACCATAATGCAGAGCAGTCGAAGATGCGATACCCCTGGTGGAGTGTGCTTTGAGGTTGACAGGAGGCCCTAAATCTGATGCTCTGTAGGCTTCAGAAAAGGCCTCACACAGCCAGTGTGACAAGCGCTGGATGGATAACGGGCGACCTGCAGATGCATCTCTATAATGCACAAACAATTGTTGAGTTTGAAACGCATTGCAGCTGTGCGCGCTATGTAACACGTCAACGCCCGCACCGGACAGAGAAGATGAAGAGATGCTTCTTCTTCTGATCTGTGAGGGGGGGGGGGGGACCCCTCCAACGATATCGCTCTTGATTTAAAAGAGCTTGTGATGATTTTAGGCATAAAAGCTGGATTGGTCTTAAATCAGCTTAACTACCGTCAGCCTGGATTCTGAGATATGACGGAGCGACAAAGAAGGCAGATAAAAACACACTCTCTTAGCTGGTGTTAAAACCAGCAGCAGTGCTGTTTAAAGAGACAAGAATTTAAGTGGAACCTGATCCAAAGGCTCAAATGAAGCTTTGATCATGACCTGCAGGACCAGTATTAAATCCCACTGGAAACAATTGGGTGTGGGACAGACCTGCGTCTCTGTACACCTTTAGAAAACGTTTCATCAGAGGATGATAAAACCTGTTCTGTCTCAGAAACCTTCATGTCAGGAAGAGATGGCTGCAGCGTATGTTTTAAACGTGCTGGATGCAGATATCTATCCATCAGCTGCTGCAGAAAGAACAGCATGCCACCTAAAGAACATGAGGAGGCCTCTACATCCTTCTCTGTACGTCAGCACTGAAAAAGCTGTCCACTTTGATGTGTACATCGCTGTGGTAGATGCAACACGTGAAGCCTGAATTGTGCGCATTACATCCTGTGGGCAACCCGTCCTCTGTAAGAGGATTTGTTCAACGGCCAGACCACAGGTGCTGGCCTATTTCTGGGTAACTCCTGATCGCTCCTCCTGCTTGAAGGAGAGCATCCTCCCTCCATGGCAGTTCCCACGGCACTCCGACAGCAGACGTTTCAGGACTGGAACTATGGTGCACCCACGCGCACGGGGCCACCAGGAGAACTATCAATCCCTCCTCCTGAGCTCGGTTCAAGAACCGTAAGATAGGAGGGGG